GAACATGCCCAGAATGCTCTTTTGGTTGAGATATTTCCTTTAAGCTTAATTCTTCTCATAATGATTGACTGGAAAGGATAAAGGAATAGAACTGTAAAAGTTCTTATATTGCCTTCTAATATAATATTGAATGTTGTATATTCAAAAATATCTTTAGATTTAAATAAGATCAAGGCAATGTAGTTCAACCAGGAGGGAATTTTGCCTAAGATTTATGAAAGTATGTAAGTGTTACTGTATATGTACTATAAGATTATGTTCTAAGTTTTGAGGGGAAACTATTTCTGAATGAAACAGAATGCTCAATATCTTGTACATTAAATAAATGTTCCTTATATCTGTTTCTTATTTATTTCATTGTATTTACACCCAGATACAATTGTGAGAGTTGAAGATATATAATATTTATGAAAGTATTTGAATAAATCATCTATAATAGGAACTAAAATATATATATTTAAAATCAATAAACATCCTAAAATCAATATTTGTCTGACTTTATAGTCACCATAGATTCTCCAACCAGTTTTCAGAAATTTCCACAAGTCCAGGACAGTAGGGGCCAACCTAATTTCTATCAGAAAATTATTTAATAAAATAAGTGGTACTACTACAAACATTGATTCAATCCTGACAAAGATTACCTATAAGAACAAATAACACTATCTCATGCCCTGGCTGAACTCTAACTAAAGGTCCAGATAACTACTTACTCTAGCTTAATCCATAGTTGCCCTGAAACACAGTCTCATTAATTTTCTCCCCAAAAGAAAGGGTTAGAGAAAATATATATGTAAGACTGTCAGGGTCTAGGGATGGCTCCTTAAGAAAGGGTCATACAATTCCTTTCAAATCTGCAAATCCCAAACTGAGGCATTAAAAATAAATCTAGATCCAGACTATCATACACCCCAACACCTTGAAGAAGCATAGAGAGCATAGATCCAAGTTATAAGCAGCTGAAGAAATACCAGAGAATCCACAGGCCAAAACAAATTCTAGGTAACATGGTAAAATGTTATCCTAGTTATAACATTGAATACTACTCATAAATCAAGAGTTTGGAAATCAGCTAAGAGTTCTGTTTGATGCCTCCTCCTCCAAAAATAACTGAAACTTCTATACAAAGGTGACAGTGCTGGCAGCTTAGCTGCACAATAATACAGAAGTGATTGTGCTTCTTTATACCATGTGCTTCTTTGAGCTTCTTTATACCATGGTGATAATGTGAAATATGCTTGTACTTGTAGTCTTCTGAGACTCCTCAATAAATCAATCAATAAATCAATAACCCATCCAGGATTGGTATACACAGAGAGTCACATAGGGGATTTGACAGTAGAAATCAAAGGAACCATTCCAAAAAACATAAGGAATCCATCTGGAACCATGAGACATCTGGGGCAGATCATTCTAATTGATTTACATGTCCTGTGGCCGTCATGGGTCACACTCATCAGGATCAGAAAGTGATCTCAATCATAGCAAAGACTTAGCTATAATGCTTTCCAGATCACCATGCAATTGCTTCAAAGCAAAGGTAAAATTCATAATATGTCTGCCAACATGTGGCGGGCCCAAAATTAAATGGACAAGTCCACTTGTTTAGGATACACTAAATAGAGAATATTGTTCTATTAAATAGTGTCTAGGTTTTGAAGCAAAGTTGTTACCCATATATGTAATGATATCACTCTTACACGTTCTGAGTTCAAATATTATTCTAAGCAAATATCCTATACTACTTTGTTAGAGTATCTATAAAAGTTACAGTGTATTAGATTTTAACAACAACAAAAAAGCCAATTCACTTATTCTTTATTATGAAATTATGAAGTATTTTTATTGCCAGAATATATCTTAGTATCAGATAAATAGGACATTAAGTATTACATTATTAGACTGTTGCTATCATCTATGTCTTTTCTTCAACTGTATACTAAAATTTTATTTTAAAGGATCCAGGAGTCTTGCTTCTGTCATATGATAACACTGCTGCAGAACTACACTGGCTAACTATATATGCAAGTTATGAGATTCTGCTTATTACCTCTAAAACCATATATATTACTCAGGGCCTGGACATGAGTCAGCAGTGTGCGGCGGCAGCAGCCAAAAAAGCTAATACAATCCTTGGTTGTATAAACAGAGGCACAGAATCAAAATCACGTGAAGTATTATTACCGCTTTATAAAGCCTTAGTAAGACCACACCTGGAATACTGCATCCAGTTTTGGTCACCACATTACAAAAAAGATATTGAGACTTTGGAAAATGTACAAAGAAGAGTAACTAAGATGACTGAAGGTCTGGAGACTAAAGCATGTGAAGAACAGTTGCAGGAAAAGAAGGTCTGGGGAGACATCATAGCAGTATTCCAGTATTTGAGAGGCTGCCACAAAGAGGAGAGGGTCAATTTATTTTTCAAACCATCAGAGGGCAGGACAAGAAACAATGGATGGAAACTTATCAAGGAGAAAAGCAACCTGGAATTAAGGAGAAACGTCCTAACAGTGAGGACAATTAACCAGTGGAACAACTTGTTTTCAGTCATTGTGGGTGCTTCATCACTCAAGGTTTTAAAGAAGAGACTGGACAGCCACTTGTCTGAAATGGTTTAGGCAGGGGGCTGGACTAGATTATCTCCAAGGTCGCTTCCATCTCTATTTTGATTCTGATATTCCACACCACCCATTTAATATAGTTCTACCCTAGCATGCACAGAATCCCCAGCTATTGCAAGGTGTGACAGAAGAGTGGTGGTGGGGAGGGCAAGAGTGGATATTCTCTGTCAGGGGTCTCCTATTCCAGAACAGCTTCCTCCTGAGGCATGGGTAGTTCTAGCAAATACAGTAATACTAATTTTAAATAGACATGAGATTGTGTTGCTTAGGTAACAGGAAAACAAATAAGCACAGAATGTATTTCTAGGAAAACAACAGCTGAAATCTATATTTAAAAATAACATAAATATTAAAACTATATTGTTTATCTTGGTATAACATTAGAATGGTCATGTCAATAAATACTGTAACTGGTTTAATACCCCATTGATGAGAACAGTCTGAATAAATCAATGAATAGTGCAGTTCCAGTGACGTCTATTCAGAATTAAGTCTCATATTCAATGGGGTTTCTGGACACAGAATTGTAGCCTTAATAGGCAGTCTTATACAGGCTTACTCGGCACTAATTCACATTTAACATAAACCTGATTTACATGTATAAAACTATAATGTACAAAATGTTGTAAATGGAAGTTAGTTAATGCCAAAAACCTATATTTTACTCTGGTCAAGCTGATCATTGTTACTTATATAACTCCTCTTAGGTATATGTATGTGTTTATAGGTGTGTAAAATTCCTTAAGATTTAATATTACATTTTCTGGTATCTCAAAATAAAGGAATTAACTGTTTATAACTAAAAATGTATAAACAATTTAATCTCAATTGATAGAAAGCGAAGGCTATTGCTTTATCTTTCAATAAAAATATAACTGTTAAAATATATATTTAACTTCAGTTTAGTCAGTTGTGATTTTCAATTTATTAATATTATTAATATTATTAATAATAATATTTCACCTGTATCACTTCTAGTAAATTATAAATGTGCTATTCATCATGAACTTGGTTATAATACAAAAGGTTTGGAAACAACGTAAGCATATATACATTCTGAATAACTTTCAATATCTAGTGCTTATTTATAAAATATCTTACATAAATGGGCAATCTCTACAGATACATAACTGAAAGACAAAGACTCTTATTCTAAGCCATTCATGACTTTCTATGGAGTCCAATCAATCATTATTCTAGATTAACAACAATGTTTATATTCTTTTATAAACTGTATTTTATGTCTCCTCAAGTATATATTAGTAATTTTACCACATGGATACTTGTCTGCTTAAGAACTACATCCCACTGGAACTTTGATTGCTGCACTGTGGTGTTTATTTCCATATATATTAATTGATTTCAATTTTCATGGCTATGGAAGCTTGAATAAAAGGTACAGGTAGTGCTACCATTAGATTTGAATAGGGTTAATCTATTTTAAATGTTAAGATTTTATACTCAACAAAGCAGAAATAGTAATGTAATAAAAAGCTTCCATTTAACCATTTTTAAAAATATAATATTTTGAAAACTTCTACAGATATAACTGCACAATTCAATTTCATATAATACACCTAAGCTTTCTATGTATACATTACAACAATACTGCAAAATAATTGGAAGACAGTGAAGTCTATTCTGATTCTAAGCAACAGATGTGATACTATTACATCTGTACTGGATTTACACACCAACACACATAAATTGTAAAACACTATCTTGCAATATTTGTTTAAAAATTAAGCATTCTTACTTTTACTTATGGTTTTAGGTTAATATTTTGAATATTAGATAGCCAATCTTATATTTTGCTCATATTTATGCTTATAGAAAGCTTTCATGGGTTTGAAATATATATATTACATGCCAAAGATACCTATCATGTTCATTTCTGCTAACTCTTTAACAGTAAATAGTTTTAGGTTAATATTTAAAGAAACAGCCATTTATTTCTAAACACTGGGAAAATTGCTAATCTGAAAGCTCAAAATTCAGCACTTCTTTGTTAGAACATGCAGAATTCAAGTTGGAATTATGAAAAAACATTTAATCTTAATAAATAGCAAACCTTTGTAATAATATTTGATCTGTCTCCTATAGTGATATTTGTTGCCATCGCTGTAGGGATTATTATTTTTATCAAATAATAGTCCAGAAGTACTATTCCTTCATTTTCATGTAAAAATGCTTGGAAATTACATATTGTAGGAAGCAGAGAGAATGTCCCTTGCTCATACAGGTAAAAAATAGAATTTTGTAAAATGTATATTTTAAACACTGCACATCATAAGACAGACTCCATTCTGTACAGACCCTTGAGAAGCAAAGATTCACTTACCATCATAAGCTATAAACACAGAAAAGAACACTTACCATAAACTGTACATTATCAAATCCATTGGCCAGCAAGTGGTTTTCATACTGAGGTAGCCCAATATTTTCCAACCATTGTCCCACAGTCTGGACAGGGCATCTGGGTGCTGAAAGAGTTTGAGAAGGGAGGCGTTTAAGCAATGAATATCCATCCACAGGGTAATAGCGATGGTCCTGGGCTGAGAGGTGGCATTGCCACATTGTGTTCCGGGCAAAATTGGTATCAAAGGAACCTGCCAGCTTGTCCAATTAATGCTTCCAGTAAATCAAAAGTCAGAAGTAGCACATAGTTTCCAGGGCACACTATAGAGTAAGAACTGCTCCTAACTGAGCATTTCATCTGCATTAATCTATACTACAGACCTGTACGTCATGCAGTGGGGGGAAAAACATATCAAGCTATCAGCTAAGCTGTTTTCCGTTATATGTGATTGTTGAAATACTCCACAATGAGCAACGATCTGCTAGCAGCAAGGAATCTTTCATGACGTGCTCCCACACTCATCAGTATGCAGCTCTATGCTCCCCCTTGCTTGCCTGCCTTTATTACCCAGCCTAGGTTCTACCTCACATTTTCAATAATAGCTATCAGAAAAGGCAAGAACGGTTTTTTTTGTCTGCAAGCTCTAAGCTTGCTGCTGCTGCGGTTTCCACCTACACACCCATCCAAACATCAACCCTGAATGATGGGAGCAGTCAAAACAAACGCAGAAAAAAGCGGGTCATCAGAGGAAAGCTAAGATGCTAAAATCTGAATAGAATCTTTGTCTGTTATATATTAGAGAGATTTGCTTATAAATTGTTCATATTTCAAAGGAGATCAGGCATTGCAAAGCATGAACTGGGGTCTGTGTCACAGTTTGCAATTTGCTTTTTTTTAAAAAAAGCTGCATTAAGGTTTGCTCTGCTCACAATATACCCTAAACCATTGTTCCTATTATTAGTCTTTTTCATCCAGTTATGACAAAAACTGGTTACATTTTTTTCTTAAAATTGAAAATAATCTAAATTATAGAACGTCTTTAACATTTCAAATAATTTTTTCTTCCTCTCTCTGATTTTTCAGCTATAGTACACAACCAGAAAATAAAATACCATCTGTTAAAATTCAACCGTTCATGTTTTGGAGAAAGAGAGATGCATAAACATGCACACACACATATACACATAAACACACACACAAACACATACATTCTTCTTAAAACAGGAATTGAAGCATGACTGAAAGGACACCATAGGAATATTATAATTTTTAAAAATAGCATTTAACATTTCTAAATTTATCCGACATGTTTGGTAATCTGGAAAGGAAAGTACAGAAGGGTATTTCAAATACTATCCTAAATATAGACAAGAGAAATTATTTTTCATTAAAAAAATTCATCCATTAATAGATAAATATGCTTTTCTTTGTTCAGAGTATTTTTAATCAATTCAGCATGTTATATGGCAGACACACACTGCAAACTGGTGCACACATAAACAATCCCTCAACCAAAATTTGCATACTGATTACGTATGTAAAAATTAAAAATACAAAAAATACTACTAAGAATAAAAGACTCTTGGCTACTTCTGTATATCATATTCAAATCTTGTAACCTAGCTACTATTGAACCTATTGATGCCTCATCGAAGCATTATTGAATGGGCAAGTGCTAATTGAAGACTTCAGATTAATAGAACTGACCAGGGCTGTCTGTCTTTTTTTATACTTATTAATGTAAATTCACTGAAATGAAAGAAAGAATGACTCTGTGGAAAGAGCTTAGGAATACAAGCAAAATGTGACATTCAGCAAAACATGGGTATATTTATTCAAACAAGATTAGCAAGTTAAGTAAACTTTACTTTCCAGTAATAATATGGTCCTATGAAAAGCTAGATGCATGTAAGACCACTGATACTGAAGGGCTTAATTCTGCACAAGACTGCAGGCTTTATTAAGGATTGCAGTTTTCATCATCAAAGATAAATTTAATGTACATCATAATATCTAGATTCAATCTGAATTGCCAGCTTGCAATTAATATATTTTAAAAAGGAATTCATAAAGGAAGTTAATATTTTGGTGGTTTTCAGATTACAGTTCATTTTCATTAGTCTCCTATGATTAAAATAAAGAGTAGCCTTTTTCTGAAATGATATATAATGACAATTACAAGTTGTAAACTGTCTAAATTGGATACAAATTCAAATCCCTTCACTAGCAAAACAAATTAATATTTGTCAGTTTTCAATCAAAAGCAATAAAAATAACAATTCTGATTAATCAATAAATCTGAGGACTCAGGTAACCCAGCTTCACAAGACACAAATTTAAAAAACAACTAATTAAGGTATCTTAGTGTTCTTCAGGGAGAATACAGAAACCCCTTCCCCTCTGACATTTCACGTAACATACTATCAATGCACACTTGTTGGACTTGTGAATTACAGACACAACGAAAACCACACAAAAAAAGGGTGGATTGTGTTGGTTTGTTGGGAGAATGTGCAATAGAGAAATATATTCTGGCATTTCCAATTTGAAAACAGAGGAGAATAATATAAAATACCTGAAATGATGATTTGTTAAAGTACATACTATTATTTCATACACTATTTCTATATAGTCTTTGAATGATATTTAAAATGTGATTTATAGAAATAATGAAAACAGTTACATATTGTATTTACCTGAACAGAAAACAATCCTTATTTTAAGACAATCTTCCAAAAAAGAGGAAGACTGGAATTAAAAAATAAAACAAAGAATTATTCTTTGTAAAGTCCAGCTTCCCAGTAATGTCATGGGGAAGCTACCAACTTCAAGTAAAACTCTACCCTAGACATTCACTCCCTCAAAAAATAATATACACTTGTATTTCTCTGTGTGGTCAACAGCATTCATTGAAATTTATTACTTTTGTCAGAATGATGAAATAAAAATTGCAATGTTACACAGCAAATTCAACCCTGTTTCAGCATCTATGTGATATCATGACATTACAGAAAAGAAGTGGGGTTTACAGCACAGTTCAGTATACTAATGACAGTGTGATGCATCTTGCCCATTACTCCATGGCCACTCTGTGTGCATACACTGGTCAGATGCAACATTCCAGACAGGAAAGTCTTGGGACAAAAATTTAATTTAATATTAAATGACCTAATGATGATTAAAATAAAATTTCCTTAAAGTAAGATGTCTCATTTGTAAAATTAATTGCTCCCCAATCTTCCCAATTAATTGCTCCCCAATATACCCCAAAACCATTTTTTCTCACACACAAACATATATATAAGCACACAAATACATATATCCATATTATTACAGCAACAACAGTAAAGAAAAAGAAAAAAATGGATGGAAGGAGTAGCTGGGTTGAGTAGGGAAGAGGAAGGAGTAAAATATTATGCAATGGAGGTGAGTCTAAACAAGAAAAAACAAAAGAAGAGAAACTGGAATTCAATAGCCTTCACTCCCAGATAAACATGATTAGAATGTATAGGTTCATTCAATATTATAACCAAGTGCAACAGTCTATTCCAGTTCAAGGGATACTAACCCCAGAGCTTTCCTTTGTCTCCCTACCACCTCAATGTATAGAGGATGAATGTCCGTAATGTGGCAGGAGAGAAAAAAACCCAGTAATCGTGAAACCAAGCTTCTGTATGAGCAATGAAAACCCAGTAATTGTGAAAACAGGCTTCTGTATGAGCAGATGCAAGCACCACCACTTCTGACACTGATACAGAAACTACAACCTGAAACTAGTTATATGCTACTAAAGTACCTAAGAATGCAGGCAGTATCTGGTGGAGAACCATTAGATATAAGAATAAACAATACAGAAGCTTCACAGAAACAGATTCTAAATTAATATCAGGGCTATTTAGCTTCAACTGCATCAGAGTGGACAAAGCAGGCATGTGCTTAAGACTGCCTCAGCTGTCAAATTTCTTACTAGAAAAATTCAGTGACAGCCTTATCTTGAAGCTGTGTACCTTGTGCTAATGTGAATTCCTTAATCCCTGGGCAGGAACTCTTGAACCCTAACACTATATATGGGTTGCTTGTAGGAACCTTGACACTTGAACATTACTACTGTCTGACTCCTTACAACTCATGATGAAAGGCTAAGAGCTGAGTTACTGTTTTACACCAAGAACAATAGTAAGTAGTCTTGATTTACAACTACTCTGTTTATTCACGCTGTTCCAGCCAAAGCAAAAGGCAGGATGGAGAGGATAGCACAAAAAAAAAATCAGTCTATAATCAAACTACATAATTAAGAGCACAATGATACAAACTCAGTAAATCTCTTTATACTCAAATTTTCATCTGCCCCGTTCTACTTTGCTGGAAATGCCAGTTTCTCCATTTTAAAAATATTATGGGAATCCTGAGTCTTTTATATCATCCCAAACATAAAGCATCTTATTTATTTAACTATGTGATTAAGAGTTTCTAGGTGATTATGTACAAATCAGCTGGTTGAATAAATTAATCTTACAATAGCTACACTTCCAAACTCTGCTGGAGTCACAAGAAAAATGTGCTCAGTATTTTTTTTTATTAAAAGTTTTATAAATTTATTACAATATAAACCCCCTCACCCCTTCCCCCCTCCCCCACTTCCCAGAGCTGATTACAGGGTAAAACAAAATAATGAACAAATATAATCCTACTAACATAAACCAACTATACTTTCAATCAAAACCATAAGACACTTTAACTCCTTCTCAATACAAATATTAAAAAATTAAGTCAAAAATAATAATATAATTAAAACTATTAATAATTATCTAAAATCTACTCAAAAGCAAGATAATACTTTTCAACTTCATATTTCTTCTGAATATAATCAATCCATCTTCTCCAAACCATAATATATCTTTCTTGTGAATGGTCCTTCAAATAGGCGGAGATCTTCGCCATATCTGCCAAATTAGACACTTTAAGTATCCATTCTTCCAAGGTAGGCAACAAATTTTTCTTCCAATATTGCCCCACCAATAATCTTGCAGCTGTTATAAGGTTCAACAAATGTGCTCAGTATTTGAAGACCCTCTGAAAGTTGATATTGCCAACAGATGCATGAGACACCTATGAAAAGGACTA